ATCTTGTTCATCCATGCTCACAAGCAGAAATGTTAAAGCTCTCCTTTGGAGTTAGAATCTCACCTCTAGTGAGCTTATTGCTTGACTGCGATTTTACTTTTACTTGGATTTTGTGGTTTCCTGTTTCCAAGGGATTGGAGTCTATCTTATAAATAAAGTAAGTGTTTTGCAGAATTCACCCTAACTTTTATTTAACTAGCAGGTATTGTTTTCATTATTTTACTCAAAAGGGAATTACATCAGAACTAGCGAGAGTTTCTTAATAAAGGCGTCTCACTACTTTAACATTTCTGCACACACCCATAAAACATTTGCTCTGTATTTTGTACTGTTTTGTTTAATACTAAATATTTGTGATTTGTGTATTTGCCCCTTGTCCTATTCCTTGTGTGGCATATATGGTCGGAAATCAGGTAGAAAAAAGGATTGATATTCAATACCATAGAAACTCTTGTTAGTAGACCTAACTACCTATTATGAGATACATTCACAAGCCATAAATATCACCAAATAGAAAGGAAAATGAAATTTTGGTGTTATGATCAAAGGATATCATGCTTGTGGAATTTATAGTATTATCCTCAAAAGGATGAATAGCACAAGACTTGCCTACACTTTAGTGGAAACCCCTGAGCGACTGCTAAAGTAGAAATGTCATTTTCTGTGGCACAAATGAAGTACAACCTGAGGAATCATGTGTCGGTGCTGATGCAGGGCAGTTGGAAGGTACTGTGTCAAGATCTACGAAAAATCCGTTCATGGATCTTGGGCTTTTCCATTTTTGCAAAGCTCCATGGAGGCCATCATGGATAGAGAAGAAGAGTTAGCTGAGGCATCCAGCAGGCGTCTTGTATTTTTTCCTCTGAGGCTGAGCTTTAGCAATGAAGCCTACATGACTGAGGATTATCAGAGAAACAAGCAGACTAGAATGTCTGAGATCAAGTGAGGCAGTTTCTGTAGGTTCTCTAGATATATAGTAGTCTTGATCAGTTCCATCCTCACGGAAGAGACAGGAAACACCAATATTGACGAGACCCATCAACATTAATTATGTCTTTGATAGATGAGACAGCAGGCTCTGGCCAATAATATCGGGCTTAGTGGGCTAGCCAAGAATCGCTCTATGAGAAGAGGCCCCTAGCCGAGCTAAGAATAAACCAAGAAGTAACACTGATGGATGTACTTTACCAAGAAAAGTATTTTTGCCAGCAGGTGAGATGACATGCCCTCATGCAAGTGATGGGAGGAGCACAAGACAGCTTGTCTTAGATGGGTCACAGTTTGTGGATGAGTTCCACTAACATCAATCATCTCATCAGCAGGGAAACCCTTGAGAATAAAGACCACGATCAGATTAAAAATGCGGAACCTCGCTGAGAAGAGAGGCAACTAGCTACTGGGCAAAAAGTTAGGGGCAAGAGATTATTGATTGGAGAAAGACACCCAGAAAAACAGTATCATCATATGATGAGACACTAAACACTCGCCATCAATGATAGTGACTGATGGACTAGAAGGGCTCATCTATATGAAGAGAAGCACCTAACAGCCCTATAATTAGGAGTGGACTACTGTTAGTGGCCACTAATGCAAACTGTATCGCTAACCAGTAACGCAGTAAGTGCCTGATCTCTTTGATGATGAAGGGTAAAGCCAGAGAAATCCTCTCCAAGAGGGGAAGTGAGTTGCTGAGGCAAACATCAGTCAGAGGGTAATCATAAATCCAGCAGGACGTACTGACAAGATGGGATCTGCAACCCTGGGACTAAGAGTCAACAATCATCAAAATGAGTAGCTCCCACAACCGCTATAACTTTATAGCACCACTTGTATCAGACAGATCAGTTCGAGAAGAGTTGCAGGTCTTCCCATGAGAGATTCGTGTCGAGGCCATATATACCCATGGTCAACGTGAAACAGATGTCATCTCCCATGTTCAAGAGAGCAACATAGGAATATCTGGACCACTTTATAAGAAGATTCTAGCAAAGTAATTGCCTGGATCTACTGGTCTCAGGAGCAGGTGATGCAATGACTTATCTTGAGTCTAAATGGTATAACACTTGATGACATCAAGTATTTAATGGAGGAGGAGCATCTGACCAAATGGAACATAAACATAGCTAGGTTATGCCAACATTTTGACTTAGTGGAATAATGAGCCAGCCACCAGACTGAATTTAATGGTCATAAGAGAGATGCCTCACAGAAATTGTGTACCTTTGCTGATGATATCCAATTTTTGCATGGTAATGCATACCTTGCAATAGCAGCAGCAGACTGTGAATACATCCATATAGATAAGTTCATTGAAGGACTTGCAAGTGAGGTGGCCCCCCAGTGGCACAGCAGTATGTCTGTGGACTTACAACGCTAAAAACCGGGTTTTGATACCCCTGGTGGGCAGAGCACAGATAGCCCATTGTGTAGCTTTGTGCGTAACTACCAACAAACAAACAAACAAGCAAGCAAGTGAGGTGATAAGGCACCACTTGGGAGCATGAAAATCTTTATATTCTGACCAACACAGTATCTCGTGTGATTAAGTTTGAGGTATTGACCTAGACAATATGCCAGAAATGAGAGAACTGATGGAAGGAGCCATGATAGTACATCACAGTACGAACTGTCCAACTAAAGTCAGTGTCCCCTATTGAACTTGTGTTCCACCAAGACTGTAGCTGTAAATGGCACCTCAGGCTAACATGGCACAGGCAGGCTGGTATTCAACAAATGGGAAGGGCTATCCAGACCTTCTTATGATGTCTGTATGACAGCAAATGCAAGCAGTACCTCCCCAGATGTTGCTTTAGAATGACCCAATCATATACTATGGTTGTGTATTGCAGGAGCATTCCTGTGCAAATTGCTCATATCTTGTCTATTCACAACCACTGCACAGCAAGTGTAGGGAGGCTGGCAGTGAGCTTTTGATGTCGTAACTCAAGTTTCAGAAAACAAATGGAACCTGAGTCAGGCCCTGTACATTGAATCACAAAGACAAAGCAGTCAGTTTGTGCCCAAAAATATTATGGTGGACCTAGTTCTATTTAGACTATGAATGGACAGTAGTGTTTCTAATTGAACACATTGACCTTTGTGGGTATTTTTATGTATCAGGTTCTCTAAGTAAAGCACATTGCCGCCTTTCCATTATTGTGAAAAGACGAATGTGTGGGAAGGTACCCAATGCTTCATCACTCTATACCTGGCTTCCAAATACTGGTAACGCAAACTGGATGATGTGAGCAGAACCAAATTGCTTTCAGTACATTAGAAGATTTATTTGAGTCGCAAGTCATGTCTTTTGGCCTGTGTAATGCCGTTATTACCTTTGAAAGGCTAATGGATCTTACACATAAAGGGCTGAACTGGGAAAGATGTCTGGAATATGTGTATGATATCTTGGTAGTTGGACAAAATTCTGAGTCAACTCTTAAGAACGGGTCCATGGTTTTACAGTGGATATGAACTGGAGCATTAAAGGTAAAACACAAGAAGTGTGTGCTCATGCAAACATCAGTAAAATTTCTTGGTCATATTAGGGGTAGAGAATGTATGTTAAATGACACTGCAAAGATCTCAATGACTTAAGACTGGCTCCAGCTCATAATGAGACCATAATTAGAAGTTTTCTTTGGTTTGCATTGTGCTATCGACTTCTTTTTTACCAAATTTTCTAAAGTTGCTGTACCATTATCTGCTATCATTAAAGTTAGTGCACATTTCAGGTGGACTAAGAAGTTTGAGCATGCATTTCTCTCCTTGAAGCGTTGCTTGAATAATTCATCCTGGAATATCTAAGGCGGGAATGTGAGTTCCTGTTGAATACTGATTCCAGTGATAGTGGGGCTGGAGCAGTGCTGTCACAGTTAAAGAATGGGGCCAAATGAGTGATCATATGATGAGTCATATGCTCGCAGCTCCTCTTGGATAATGCTGCATGACAAAGAAGGAACTTCTTACAGTTGTAGTATGCTTGAAGCACTATTCACTCTACTTGTATGGCAGGAAGTTCACCCTCCGGGTGTATCATGTATTACTGAAATCACTGATTGACTCTCGAAATCTGGGAGGTAAGATTACATACTGGATCACAATGTTACAGGTGTATGACCAGGTAATACAGCATCATCAAAGAGTACAACACTGAAATGCAGATGAACTATCTTCCCTCATTGTGAGACTACATCTGTTTGTAAAATATCTTGATATAGGACAAAGAGTTAAAAAAGAAGTTATTTCCACTGTCATGATGCAGGTCTACCTACTTGGTAACGTATTAGATGATTGTAGGCCAAAACACATTCCCCCAAGAACTCTGAGAAGACCAGAAAGAACCAGAGTTAGCATAGGTGCTTCTTGCCATGCAGCAAAATAAAAACACATATCCTGTGCATGTTGAGGAACTGGGTGTGGACACATGCAGTTTGTGGCACTTACAAGCAGTTACATGTCCACAGCATCATGTTATACTGCTTATATTGACCACCACAATGTGAAAATCTATCAGTGCTTCAGCTTAGGGTTCCCAGCCCTCTTGCAGGTGCAGATTCTCTAAGACTTGCATAATGCAAAGATGCAAAGATTTGAGGTTGCCAGGGTGTTACCCAAACTATCACTAATGTCCAACAATCATTCTAATGGATGGGTTTGAATCATGACATCCAGCACTGATGCTGGCATTGCACCATGTGTGAAGTGCAATGAATAAACTGACCTAGACAGAACGAACTCCAGGAAATTATTATTAGTTCTTCCCTTTATACAATAACCCTGGATATTGATGGTCCCGTCCCGGAGGCTGAGAGAGATAATCAATATGTTCTCATTGCTACTGATTGCTTTGCCAAGAGGGTCAAAGCTTATTCATTGATTGACACTTTAGCACAGTACATTGCTGATGTGTTGTAATAACAATGGATAACATGTTTTGACACCCCTGGAGAGATTCACATGTATCAAGAAACTAATTTCAACAACCAGTTATTTTCTAAGTTATGCACGATGCTGGGTGTGGAGAAGATGTGCACTTCACTATACCACTACAGTCAGATGGTTTGGAAGAATTGGTGATGCAGATTATCAAGCTGTATGCTTACAAAACTTTTAAACCTGCCCAAACCAATTGGGAAAAGCATTTGCTGTATGCTATGATGACATATTTTGTAAGAGAACAAAAATCGTCTGGTTGTTTGCTTAATATGCTCATGTGTGACGAGAAATGATGGTCCCTTGAGACTAACAATAAAGTAGTTGTGTTCTCCACAACCATAGAAAATGGATTTGGTAAATGGTTTCAATGGATAGGTCTCATTTTATTGAGGTTACCTATGTTTACTATAACGTGAAGCCAAGTTACCAAGTTACTTGGGTGTATCAACTTGTGAAAGGTAACACTGTGTCCCAGCAATCCATAGTTACTGGCCATTCCAAACAGTGATTTCCCATTTATGGTTGACAATTGTATTTAGCCATAGCTGAACTGAAGGTATGCCGATGTATAAGGTAGTGACAAACAAGTATTAGTTATGGCATAAATAATTTTGGTTGAATAACCATTTCACCTAAATTATGCTAATAATTATTTATTTCAGAAAGCCAGGAAAATTCTGTTGTTATACCATCTGAAAGTGGCAGCACTTCCCAGACATTGCTCATCGACTGGTAGTTGACGAAAGTAACTTATATAGGTTGCTATGGCAATGGTGCAGATGCCTATGGCAATATGTGAAAAGCTACTACTGTTTGTAGCAATGTGTGTGAATTGGATACTTACGTGTATTTAAATACGTTTGTGATTATATGTGTATAAGGTTTTACCTACATATATAAAACTTTACAGAAAGTTATTTGTAAATGCTGTCCAACACGAAAATGAATCAAACACTCAGATCACAACCAGAAGGCAACCTTTGAGTTGTGAAGTATTAAACTAACTTAATGAAGAAACAACGAGCCAATTGGTTTCATTAAAGCAGGTACGCAAATGTCTCAGTTTTTACATTGAAACATTTTGCAGGCAGTGGATTATACAGAAAAAGATGAGAGTAATACGTATATTAATGTTAATTGTGCAAAAAAGAAGTTTGATTTGTATTATGCAAGTTATGGCCAGTAACATTTCAATGCAACACAACTGAAATGTGAATCATTGAGATGAAATTATCTGTGAAGAGTAAAATTCATAAACAGTGTCATTAAACATGACAGATATAAACATTTTGTACATAAAGTTTTATTAATTATATGAAATATTTTCTATCATGCAAATAACATAGTTTTCTTAATATATTCTTAACATTATTCAGCACAAGGGCAGTAAAATGATAGAGGTGATATGTATCACTTTTGTGTGAGATGCAGCTACTTTCCTCTGCACTGGACTTGTTACTGAAGAAAGTTGCTTGGGAGAGGAGATGTAGGAGTTAACGATTTTCTACAGTTGGAGAAGTCAGGTAAGTACCGAAGCAGTGCTCATTTTGAACCTGCCAGTTGAGTGTATTCTCTCAGATTCAGAAATCTGACCCGTATTTACTGCCAAAATGAAAGAAATTGTTACATAGTTTCCAGAATGCCCTTCGTGCCTCGGGTTGGCCTTACTTTCGTGTCTTCACAGCTTGTGGATGAAGATGCATTGCCTAAAGATGTTTTAGACACTTGGGCTTTATAGGCAGCATATTATTGGTTTCCTTTCAAGACTGGAGCATCAGATGACACCACATTAATATAAATATCTCAATGATAGAACCAGAGAGTGTGGTGGTTCAGACAAACCCATAATGTCCAATGTGCCTTCTGTCCAGCCAGCATGTACTATGCTGGAATCAGCCCCCTCCCCCAAGTGTGAAGGAGTGAACCAGACTAAGCAATAAAAAAGTCAAAGTTTGAGGCAGCAAAGCATCAAACAGAAAATTATTAGTGATTCATTGGAAACATTCTGTTGAGGAAAAATAATAGATATGGAATGTGTGTGCTCGCTTCTGGTGAGACCATCACACTATGCATCCTGGCAAGGCCTTCCTGCTTCTTTGGTACCAACGATGATCCACCAAGCAGCAAGGTCCTTTCATGGATTCAGTTCCTTTGCCAGTAACTCTAGAGGAAACCATTAAAATATACGTCACCACTGGCTGTAGCACCACCCACTACAATGATGACCTCCAACTTTAACACCGTTGTCAGCAGTACCTCTTGTAGCTTTGGGAGCAGGGATGGAAAAGGTGATGATCCCAAAAAACTCCAAGTGGAGATTAAACAACAACTTATACTGCAGTAGATCACTGTGCTAAAATGCCACAGCCAGGTGGATGGTGGCCTAGGTGTTCTATAATTGCAAGGAAAAATCGCTTGTTGAAGGGCAGAAAGCCACTAGTGCAGTTGGAGGAAGAGGTAATTCATCTTTGAGAGGATGTAGTGCAAACTCGGAAGGTTCTCGCGAGAGAGCTAGATGGATCGTCTTCCAGACCACTATGTCGCCTTGAAACTCCATGGCTGCATTGAAGAATTTGCTTTTAGGGCTTCTTTAAATGAGTATATTCCCATCAACTTGTATATTTTACTGAATTATGTATATATATTTGTGTGTATGTGTTTCTGAGTGAGTGAGTGTGTATTTGTACAATTTTGTGTGTATATATATAGGGTTACAGTTTAATTGTTTGTACAATGTAGATACCAATTCTCTGTTAGATAGGCTAAGATATAGATTTAAAGAGTTCATGAACACGTGTAAAGTGTATAAATGTACGTTTTCTCATGAATAATTTTAAAAATGGTTCTTTGTATCGTGTGCATGTATGTATTATTGCATAATATTTGAGTTTAAGGGTTTATTTTAGTGCATTCTTTGTTAAAAAATATTGTATATATATATTATTGTGATTTATTGTGTAAGGTTATGTTTTTAGAGTCATTTCTGATCACTCTGTTCGATGTTTTCCTTTACTGTGTATTATAAGCGATCTGTGCTAAAAGTCAACATTATTGTTAGTTGTCCTCTCTTAAGGGGATGAGTTTCTATGTTGAAGTGTGAGTTTTGTATTTCTATGTTGAATGTGAGTTTTATAATTCTTTGTCAAAGGGTTTTTAATATGGCGTGTGATGTAGTTTTTAAATGTTTAAGGTTATTTTTTGCTTTGTTGTATGTTCTATTATTATTAATGCAAGTGTAGTACGTTAGACTATCCTTCTTAAAGGGGGTAGGTGAGATGTAAGCTGTGTTTTGTTTGTATACTTGTTTTTACCTGTGCGTTCGTAAGTCTTGCAGAACCAAAGGTTTCACTGTGATAAGGTTCTTATATTGATTTCTTTGTAGTTCTATAGCTAGAGACGACCTGGTCAGCCTGGAAAGAAAGGTAAGACGAAATGTTGAGGACAGGACTGTACTATGTATTTTCTATTCCTTTAGTTAACGTGTAATTTTTTGGAATATTTTATTTTTAGTAGTTCTTCATTTGAACACAATGAGGTGCTCAAGTAAGTCACTAAATTTTTTCTTTCATTAGAAAAGGGGTAGGTGTGTTTGTAAATATCCAGTTAACCAGTTTATAGTGTTTTTCTACAGGAAGGTTAGCTCATTGTGTAGCTAAAGAAACAGTTGTTTTTCTTGTCGACTAATTGGATAATAGCAAAGGGAACCTATGCCCTTTGCCAACATAAAACATGCTTGATCACTGTGGACCCAGGCGCAGATTTTGGCATTATATGTATTAATTTACTGAAGTTTATTAACATATCTAAAGCCAGGTCTGCTTCAGAAGCATCAGATTTTGTGTGACTTTTCATCCTATTAATTATACAACAGAAGACGCGAAAGTTTCTGTTGCGATTTTCTTTGTTTTCATTTTAAGGTAGCGAAAGCGTTAAAACTCTCACGCGGAGTTAAAGTTCACCTTAGTTTGAACTTATTTTTTAATTGTGCTTTTACTTTCTCTTATATTTTGCGGATTACGATTTCTGAGGGAACAATAGTCCGGCGTATAAATAAGTCTAATTTCGATTTCGCATTTTATTTTGCCCTATTCAACAAGCAGGGACTATTTTCGCTTCATTATTTTATTATACGTTACAAGGGAGGTTACAGTGGAACTAGTGACTTAATTAAAACTTCTAACTACTCTCACAGTTCCATACATAATCACAAACCACTTGCTCTGTGTCATTAAATAGTTGTTATTTGTGTATTTGCCTCTTGTTTCATTCGTTGTGCAGCGTACTTTGCTACTTATCGGGAGGGGGAACACTGATATCTTAGAACCTCCTGTTAGAGGACCTAACCACTTATTCTGAGATACACATTCGCGAGCTGGAAAATCCACATAATTATGGGATATTTTCCACACTACTATTATCATTATGGAAAGTGTTAGTGAATTTTCTCCACAAATTCTTGAATACTTATAGATAGTGTTGGTGAATTTTCTCTACAAACTCTTAAATTTTGACGGAAAATGTTAAGTTATTTTTCCACACATACCATTGACACAATAATCACCTGTTGTAGCTAAATTATATGCTAATACTTCTATTGGCCCTACTTTTTTTTAACACAACACAATTTTGGATGCTTTTTATCCAACATATACATGATCAGCAAATGGACAGAAGCTTTTGAAATGTCATGTGTATCGTCAAAGACCGGGCGTGGTCTATCTTTTTAGGATGCAGAATTGCGGATCGGAAGGTCCAAGATCCGAGCCGCGAGATACTGCTGAATATGCTCCACATTTGCAGCTCCTAAAATGTATTAGCTACTGTAGAGACAAAAGGTTTGGTTCGTTATGAATTTCGCGCAAAGCTACACGAGGGCTGTCTGCGCTAGCCTTCCCTAATTTAGCAGTGTAAAACTAGAGGGAAGGCATCTAATCATCACCACCCACCGCCAACTCTTGAACTACTCTTTTACCAACGAATATTGGGATTTACCGTAACATTATTAACACCTCCACGGCTGAAAGGGCGAGCATGTTTGGTGTGATGGGGATTCGAACCCACGACGTGCAGATTGCGAGTCTAGCGCCCTAA